GTTTGTGAGTTCGAGCCCTGCGTTGGGCTCTGTGCTGACAGCTTCAGATCCTTTGCCCCCCTCCCCTGCTTGCACACGGCACTCTCTCAAAAATAAACAAGACATTAAAAAGAAAAGTTATTGGGGCACCTGGGTGGCTCAGTTGGTTAAGTGTCTCTTGATTTTGGCTCAGGTCATGGTCTCTCACGGTTCCTGAGATCAAGCCCCGTGTCGGGCTCTGCACTGACAGTGCAGAGCCTTCTTGGGATTCTCTCTCTCCATCTCTGGCCCTCCCCTGCTTACACACACTCTCTCTCAAAAAAAAAAACAACAAATATTAAAATAAAAAAGCTATTTATGTATTTTATGTATGTGTAGGGGTGTGTGTATGTGTATACACGTGTCTTCTTTCCTTCCCCTGGAAACAACATCCATACTTTTTCCTCAGATTTTGCAAGTTCCCAAACTGAGAAGTTTTAGCCTACAGGAATATGACCCCATTAAGTAGGAGAGGAGATTTCACCAAAGAAAACTATGAAGTTATCCTCTGCTATGTACTCTTCAGTTAATGAAGGGCAAAACCCGGCAATTCCTAGCTCTGAGTTCTTCCATTGAGCTCTTGTCATGTGTGGTAATGACACGGATACACTGTTTTTATTTCAAAATATGACATATACACACATCAGTAGAGGCTGCGCACACACATGTGCGCGTACACACACACGTATAAATATTCTATTGTGTACCACAAAGATCCTTATTTTTTTAGTGCAAAATTGGCCACAAAGAGCATTCGAGGACAAAGACCAGTTTGTGCTAGTATGTATTGCTGGCACAACTGGTAAAGGTTTAAAAATTTTTTTTCTTTTAATGTTTATTTATTTTTGAGAGAGAGAGAGAAAGAAAGAGAGAGAGAGACAGCATGAATGGGGAGGGGCAGAGAGAGAGGGAGACACAGAATCCGAAGCAGGCTCCAGGATCTCAGCTGTCAGCACAGAGCCCGACACGGGGCTTGAACTCACAGACTGTGAGATCGTGACCTGAGCCGAAGTCGGAGGCTCAACTGACTCAGCCACCCAGGAGCCCAACAACTGGCAAAGGTTGAAGTACCAATGTGCTACTGTAGGTGCTGCTCATTTTTTGGTTGGACTCAACCAGGAAAATATTTTTTTCAATTTGTGTAATGACTGTCTAGTTATCCTCTACAACATAAAACCATGAATAAAATCAGTTGATAAGTATGACTATTTAGCTTACTTTTCCATTAGTAAATAGTGCTGAGTTTATATCATAATAAAAAAAATAATGGTCTTTTGTTATTTCTTTTAGCCAAAAACTTACAAACGAAGGTGTAGTTAGGGATGAGGCTGTTTTCAGGCTTGTAAACTTGCCTCAGAGAAATATCCCCCCCTTTGTTAACAATAAAATGTCCTGACATCTCTGCTAAGGCAATGATTGATTCCTGGAGTTAGATAGTGTCCTAGAGTCTCAAAACAGCTCTAAGAGGGGCACCTGGGTGGCTCAGTTGGTTGAGTGTCTGACCGGCTCAGGTCATGTTCTCACAGTTTGAGTTCGAGCCCCACATCAGGCTCGCTGCTGTCAGCACAGAGCCCACTTCAGATCCTCTGTACCTTCTTCCCTGCTTGCATGCTCCCAAAACTAAAACATTAAAAAAAAAAAAAAAAAAAAAAAAAAATGGCTCTAAGACTCTGCCTGATTCACTATCTTCCAGCTGGTATTTAAGAGGAAACATGCACAAACTGTTAGTTGGCTAATGCCAGGGGAAAATGAACTCAACCTATACGGCTCTAAGTATTCTCAGATGAAGAGAACATTTCTGAGTTTGGACTTTATTTTTTTCTGGTAATGTAAATTTATAAATGCAGAACTACTGATTGTACTTGCATTAGGCAGAGTCAGGTCCCCTTAATAAGCATGTTCACTAATCAGTCTGATGAAGGAAAATAACTTAGAAGCACTAGAAACTACAAACAGTCCAATACACATTTAATATATTTGGCTTTTGTAGGTAAGAGATTATTTAGAAACCAGCCAGCTAAAAGGGCTATTTACCATGACATTTCTAATATTTTTCCACCTCTGTAGTGTGATGGATGCCATTAAAATACAAGGGCTGAAAAACAGTCCTGAACTGTCCAGTATCAGATATGGGACAAATGTCACCCACCCTGCTATGGCGTAATGCTCCTGGTACAGAGGGTCTTCTCCATTCTTCTCTCCAGAAAGCACACTGGAAAGCAAGTGAGGGGTGTTATTGTAAGAATAACTTTGAATCCAGTCCATCATTGTCCAAGAGTCATACAGTCGGACACTCAACTGTATGATTTTCATGACATCTCACACCTGATCATGACACCCACCTTTGTGTCGACACCATCTCTGAGGATCCCTCAATCACTTATTGCCTTGCCCTCAGTCTGGGCCAAGGTTCTCATCTGCACTCAGTTTTAGATAACTTATTAACATAACTAATACAGGGAGCGCCTCAGTGGCTCAGTCAGTTAAGCCTCCGACTTTGGCTCAGGTCATAATCTCACAGTTCATGAGTTTGAGCCCTGCGTTGGGCTCTGTGCTGACAGTGTGGAGCCTGCTCGGAATTCTCTCTTTCTCTCTCTCTGCCCCTCACCTGCTCGTGCTTTCTCTCTCTCAAAATAAATAAATAAACTTAAAAAAAAAACCACCCATAACTAGAAAGGAGTTTTAAAAAATATTTATTATATTTTGTTCTAGAAATGGTAGAAAATAAAAACTGGTGCAATTATGTCACACATCCTTGGCAAGGCATAGTCAGCCTTTCACACCAGAGAAAAGTTGTACACAATGCCAGAAACGGAAATACCCAAGCCGAAGGTGACAAAGGGTGAGGCTGCTGATCGGAGGAGCCCTTTTGTAAAGGTTTAAAGTTTTCTTCTCTGCTGTCATTTACTTGTGGACAAATACCAGTCCAGTGGAAAGCATTCTGAACATAAAAGGCACCTAGAGTAAAAATCACACCTTGACTAATAAAAATAACGACACATGTTTACACTGAGAAAAAAGGTCCTATCACGCAACTGTCCTACAAGGCAACGATAATATAAATGCAAAAGCTACTGCAACTAAAAGATCTATCCACACTTACCTAAACCTGGCAGGGGAGTTAGATGATGACAGCCACTTTTGCATCTATAACCTGGACATGTTTTATCATCATTTAAATAAGCATGAGTACTGTACTTATAGGCGGGCTGGGGGCAGTCTATTTATCCATAGTCAAGATTTGCTTTGCTGCATTTTCTCTTAAAATGCATTGCTGCATACTCCATTCATGGCTACATGAAAAATTCATGTCGTCCTTTAAGAATAAAGCGAAACTTAAAATTGCAAGTTTAAACCGAAAGTCCATTTAAATTATCATAAAGCCAAATAAAGCTGATGTTTTACTATGATTTAAGCACCTGAAATATATTCTGATCAATTTATATTCTCTGAGCTAGAATTAGGATCCTCAGGATTTGTATTATGTGTACAAATATTGCAAATTAAGCTAATAAAAACTTGAAAAAATACAAATAATCTTTAGCTACAAAGATCTAAAATACACCTATGGTCTGTACTAAGACAAAAATGAACAAGAAGCCAGCAAACACCAGTCTGCATGTTCTCGTCTGGGGAAAAAGGACTCAGCGGAGCCAGGTGGTGTTCAGCTGGGTCTGGTTCTTGATGCTGGTATCCATTTTTAGCACTTCGCGAATGGCCATGGTAGCGTAGGTAGAAGGAGGAAGAGAAAAATCCATCTTCAGAGCTCTGTATTTGCCTTCTGCCAGGCAAGAAAGAAGAGAACGGTCAGAAAAGGAAGGCAGCTGCAGAGAGACTGGGGAGAGTCATATAATCGCTACAGAGAGGAAAGAACTGGGCTCTTCTGCAGGCACCACCTCCCGTGGGGCCTCAGAGAATAAAATGTAGAAGTGAGATCAGAAGTATATGATCCAGCCGAATCCCGACAGTAATTCTACTTGGAACCTTCAAGAAGGGCACAGGGTGGAAACAGACGAGGGAATGGCAGCCAGAAGTTGACAATGACAATGCAGATTTCATGTTTTAGACTCTGTTCCTGGATACTCCCTCACCTTTGTTCACTCAGTGGGGGAGGAAATATTCAACCACCTAATACCATAATGTTCATTCATTTTCAGTGAAATCTATTGTTCTAATCACCTGGCATCAAGCTATAACCACGAAACCAAGATGACAAAACACAAAATAGCAATCACTGGGCAGGTGGAAGGTGGCAGTTTAATTTATGTTTTCGTCTGAGAAAATGTTTCAAAGTTGACACAGGGCTGACGGCTGAGTAAACTTACCAGAAGCAAACACCGGTGGTGGTTTCCCTTCTAGGTTGTCCACATCTGTGTTGAAGAGTGGAATTTTGGGATCATCATATGCAACGACTTCCCTTCAAAACACACAAATAAAGTGTGAATGCAAACTTCTATGAAAGGAACTAAAACTGCTCATCACCATTTTCTTAGAAAGGAAATAACACACAGGCCTGTGTAAGGAATTCTAAGGGGAAGTTGTTCAATAACAGAACAGGGCCAGATTTTACATGTAAGTATTGCTTTTGTACGATCATACAAGATGACAAATGATGCCAGACTACGTTAAAAAAAATATAAAATGCTTCCTTAGTATGGAAATTCTTTTTCTATGTAGGTGGAAACTTCACTTGGTGAAGATGTGAATTAGTAATGGCATTTGTATCTTCTCCACGGTGGTCATCACTTCTAACAGCACCGCGTTACTCACCAGAAACAGCTCTCTGGGGTGGGGAAGACCAAGTCCAACCTGGCCAACCTCATCCCACAACCCAGAGATGGAGACAGGGAAAAGAGAGAATCTCCCGGCAATGGACAACTAATTCAGGATTTAGTTTTTAAAATTATCAAACAGAATTGAGTTTTATAAAATTATCAAATAAATATACTGAAATATTTTAAATGAGTTAATACATGTATGTTTTTTTCTTCAGAACATATTAAAACAAACAGATCAGTGTTTGAAACTCATAGCTAATTCGGAATAAAGGTAGCTTGCTCAGGGATAGCTTTATAAGCAAATCTTAGTTTTTTCAAAGTAGGGAAAAAGTTTAAATGTTTCTTCCATTTTTTTTTTTTTAAAGCCTGACGCGGGCTCAAACTCACGAACTATGAGATCATGACCTGAGCTGAAGTCAGACACTTAATTGACTGAGCCACCCAGGTGCCCCTTCTTCCTTTTTATTAACGTTTATTTTTATTTTTGAGAGAGAGAGAGAGAGAGAGAGAGAGAGATCTCACAAGCGCGTGCATGTGTGCAAGCAGGGGAGGGGCAGAGAGAGAGGGAGACATAGAATCCGAAGCAGGCTCTAGGCTCTGAGCCTGACGCTGGGTTTAAACCCATGGAACGCGTGATCATGACCTGAGCCAAGGTCAAACACTTAACCCATTGAGCCACCCAGGCGCCCCACTCTGCATAGATCTTCAATAATTTAGCAAGGTCTATAAAATGTAAACTTAACCACTTACACTTGTTTGTTTCCTGATGATCGAAAAATGCAAGTAGAAGTAATAATGATAATAGTAACAACAAGTAATGCTTCTATGCCAGGTTGTCAACACTGGACAATAAACACGTGATGCAAAAGCTTTAAATCTCACATTGTAATTCAGTTCTACTTCCTTCCAGACTATCACTCACCAACTGACATTCTGAGGACGAATAATGATCTTTCGGTAGGCTCCTGATAAGGAATAATCTCGAATTTTGTGTCTCATGTTGTCAATATCCAGATTGTCTGCTGTGAGCATTTCCCTGTAGGCTTCACTAACTGTAAGATACAAAAAGTTAGCTGGAATGCAGCATGTGAGCAAGCCACCTTCTGCCAGACCACAAATAAATTCATAGCATCCTAACAAAATTAGTCTCTCTCATTTATAATCCAGCCTGTTCTCTAGAATCAAAATTTAGGGATTAACTACTAGGACTAGATGTCTCCAGCTTAGATTTGAGCAACTTGTAAGTTATCTCTCATAAGCAGCCACAGTATCTGGGGTGTAAGGTTCTCAAGCTAACTATAAAAGGCCATTTCAAGAGAAGTTATTAACCTATAATTTATACATGCTCAGAGTTGGAAGACAGCATGTACAGAGGCCTCCAATTCCTGAAGAAGGCAGTTATAAATAAATGTATAAAAATAAGAGACCTGGGAAAACAATCTGGCTCACCCTCACCCCTGATGTGGAATCTTTTTTATAACACCTGAGAGAGACAGTCACCCGGCCTTTGCTTGCAGGTTGCCATTTACAGTAACGTCTTTGTGAGGCTCACCAATTGTTAGAAAGTTCCTTATTCCAAACTGAAATCTGTCTTTTTATAACTTCTGTTCACTGCTTTGCAACACAGCAGGTTAACTGCCCTTTTTCACATGTTCACACAAGTGCTGGACCTTTAAGCCGTATCTTCTTTAGGCCACACACACGTTCTTTCAACTGTCCCTCTTCTGACATTGCTGTATTCTCCACAAAATCCTTCATCTGCCTCAGGGTAGCAGAATGATGTTCAATAAGAACTCCAGATACTTTTTATATAGACTACTATCAAGCCGGACCTTTACAGAAGTAAGAATTTATATTTAACTCTATTAAATGCCTTCTGTAGTTCTTTTAAAAAATTTACTTTTTATACAATTAGTATTAACAGTTTTGGGTAACATAACTTGCAAACATGATAAGCAGATTTTAAAAAAATGTTTATTTATATTTGAGACAGAGAGAGAGAGTGCACGAGCAGGGAAGGGGCAGACAGAGAGGGAGACACAGAACCTGAAGCAGCCTATAGGCTCTGAGCTGTCAGCACAGAGCCCGACGCGGAGCTTGAACCCATGAACCGTGAGATCATGATCTGAGTTGAAGTTGGACACTTAACCCATCGAGCCACCCAGGCGCCCTGCAGATTTCTTATTCAAGTTATTCATAAAAAATATTGGGTAGACCAGGGTCAAGGAAAGACTCCCTCACAACGTATCTATAAGACAACAGGGATCCCTAAACTGAGCACTGCTGGATGCCAAGCGCGCATATGTAACCGATCCACATGCCCATCCAGTCTACGAGCCCCTGTCTTCGCCACAAGGATTCCATGAACAAACTTTGTCAAAAGCTGTATTGAATTTATGGCTTAAATGGCATTACCCTGTGCCATAGGGTAGGCAGACTGTTCCCCTCCCCCCTCCTATTCATTCCCTCCTCCTTTTCTCTGCTTTCTCTCAGTGAAGTCAACCTCACATAAGAATTAGAAGCGCAGCAATCTGATTATATTAATATGTAAGTGGCAGATGACTAACTTTTGTCAGTATTTGCAGTATCAAAGACGGGTGTTAATTCCTAAGCATTCTGTAACTTGTATAGTTACAAGGAATATAACATTGATAAGCAAAATAATCATTCTGACCCCTCGAGAGAAAAGATGTCTTTTTTTTGTTTTTTTAAGTTTTTACTCATTTGAAAGAGACAAAGGCAGTGTAAGTAGGGAGGGGCGGAGGGGGGGGAGAGGG